CTGTAAAGGTCTAAACTTGCTTTGTATCGCATTTTAATTAATATTTCCTAGTATAGTTATTTGCATATTTGTTTTTCCAGTTCGGTTGCAACACATTTTGTGTTTCTCAAATGCCTTAAGGAGCCTGAAGGGGCTTTATTAACAGTAAGTTTGTATTAGTAGGTTTGTATTAAGCACTCTGACTGTTGTAAATTCGTGCTGACCGGGAGTAAGGTCAGAAATCTCGTAGACTGTGCATTCTGCAGGTGTGTGGATTAAATTTCATCTTAAGATGTTTGGGAAACTTTGCCTTTGAATAGGACAGTGAGGGCCGTGAACTTTAATTGTGCTGGGAAGATGAGACTAGGTTTCTGTTTCGTGACCTCTGATGAACCCACCACGCCTCTCTGTCCATGCTCTGAAATGCCACCTGCAGGCCAGCAAACGCAGACTCCAGGTCAGTGACACAGAGCTTGTGAAGGCCCAGGCACGGCCCCGTAATTAAAAACAAAATGGACAGCAGGTTTCAGAATTACACATGTCTCTGAATGGGCCTTAAGGGTTAGGCCTATCTCATTCGTGATAGCTATTCTGCAACATTATCAGTAACTTAACCATAGTCTTGACTTATTGTTAGATTTTTCCATTTAGCCTGTATAATGCCCCACTCCTGGTTATGAGCTATAAATATCTGTGTGGGGAGATGATTTTTTAAAAGTAATTATAATAATTATTCAGTTTGAGACCCAGGATTTTTAGTTTTATTTTCTCTATTTTCCATGGATAAGCTTACTTTAGAACTAGCACAGAGAAACATTCCTTGGCCTTATTAAGCCCTGTAAATCCAAAGTACACAGGCGGCTGCTTCAGGCTTGTTTGAGGAGGAGGGTCACAGAAGTGTCTGGCTGCTGAGCTGTTTACCTTGTGAGGAAAGGTAGGAAACGATGGAGAAAAATACCACTAGCCTGTGGCCTCCAACTGTGGGTTTTTTAAAATTATAAGCTAGGAAGAGGGAGGGTTAAGACTCAAAATGAGTGTGCCAACGTATACGAAAGGGTCTATGTTATCCTTTATTTAATGGTCTGTGATAACTCAAATCATTTCAGTATCATTTATCTAAAATAAAACAGCATGTTATCATTTATAGTTATATGAGACATAGTCTTTTCCTCTCTTTCCCAGGAGTAAGATGGAAGGAGTCAGCTTCCCAGAAAGAAGGCCTTTAGCTGTGTTATGATTTTCAGTTTGAAGGTTTTCCACCACTCACTGGCTGAGGAATTCTTTCAGAGGAGTACATATATTCATACCTCTAATTAATTTGGATCTTTACAATAAAAAATTAAAACTAAATGGCTTTTTAAAATGAGGTTGAAAACTATGTTTAGATCAGTTATAGAAAATGATAATAAACACAGTTTTTTCCTTCTTGAGTGTAGCAGGATACTGATGTCGACTATTTTAAACAAAATTGTAATATATTGAAATTCTCTTTACTTATAACCTAATTAGAAATGTTAAATGGCCAAGAGTGTGTAGAAATTGGCCAGAGCTCTGTACATTTTCTTCAGAATACTTTGAAACCTCTTTCACTATTTCACAATATTTATAGATTGTGCAATCCAGGTTTAGTAATACTATAGATAGTCAGATGTCTCAGAGAAGAAAACAGATTTAGCAGGAAACATAAATGTTTATGGCATGGGCTATAAGTACAGTACTTATGATACTGAGGAAAAAAAGACATTAGGTAGAAAGTTAAAGGAAAAAATCAGTGTCCACCTCTCAGACTCAGGATCCTTGAAGTCATATTTAGGGCAGGGGCTGTAACTTAGTGGTAGAGTGTTTGCCTACTATCACAAAAACAACTCATTAATTTAAAAAAGTTTTAAAAGGCAGATCCTTCGATAAATATGCTCTGCTAACACAGTCGATCCTCCCTGGCTTTATTTATGCTTGCCACTTCTACTGTGGTCTCTTAAAGCTTTCCTTGCTTAGAAGTCTGCTCACCAAAATTTTCTATTTCCACTGCAGTGATTACAGAGCAAGAAACCTTTTATTTGGCTTTTGATGAGATGCTCAGGGCTTAGATCCTCTGCCTCACTCATGAGGTCAGTGCCAGCTGACAGAGTCATGGAGAGAAGCCTTCAGTGTGTGTTGGTAAAACTGGCCTGCCTAGTTTTACAGGCTGTTACTTTGGGAAAATTACAGTCCCTATGGTGATCCTCCTCCTCCTCCTCCTCCTTCCCCTTCCTCTTCTTCTTCCTTCTGCTCCTTCCTCTTCCCCCTCCCCCTCCTCCTGTTTTTGTGTTAAAATCTTCTGGTTTGTTCTGAAGTCTGGGTCTCACAGTAGATGATTATATGCTTAAATAGAAAAGTTAGGTTTTGCTTTTCTGTTTGTTTTCCAATGCTGTGAGGAGGCAGGCATGTATCCAGTTTATTGTTTCATAGCTAGGCCATGTGAATATTTACCATAAATCTTGTGACCTCACAAGTCTAGCCTCCATGTCCTAAGCCTAGGGGAGGTCAGACAGCAACAACTGGCAGGAAGAGTCACTGATCTCTGGGAAGGTGAGGTTAACTAACCCCAAGGACGGGCACAGGGATGTTGGGTAAGTTTTAGGATTTGAAGCAACAGAGGTGGTAAGATGAGGCGTGGAAACTCCAGAACCAAGGGCAGTCAATTAAAGGGATTTGACTAAGGGTAGGTGTTGCTTTTATTCTTTGGAAATGTCCCCTTGAGCCTTTTCTAATGTAGCAGTCTATCCTGCAGGCAGCTGCAAGCCAGTTGAAGACACTTTCTACAAAACATTTTCTCCTTGTGTTACAGTACACCTGGACAGAAACATTGTTGGGGCTTAGGAGAAATGTGTTATCCTTACAGTTCTAGTAAGAATGAAAACATTTTACTGTGTTTTGTTAAATACAGTTTTATTTTTTGGTTTTTGGTTTTTTTTTTGTTTTGTTTTGCTCAAATATGCTTTAGAAAAACCTGACTTGGAAAAATAGTTTGCTTTGATGGAAAGGCTGCTGTGAAACCATGAAGTGAATTGGTGCTTCTCATGATAGAAGAGCCCTAATTCTCAGTGTCATGTTCTAGATTGGCAAAATGAGTTAAGCTGCTCATTAAGGAGGCAAAATCCAAGGACAGGCAGTCCAGCCCTGTCCTTGTAGATGGTGTTGGCTTAAGTGGTGCTGTGCTGGACATAGGTACGGGTCCTGTGTCATGAACTGGCTCATAACTTTTTAAACTCTAGTGCCTTTTACATAGTAGGCATTCAGAGCCTGATTATTTTTTAATGTAGTGTTTTTCTTAAAAGATGGAAACAGATTGCAGTTGTGTTTTCTTTGTCCCAACTTGTCTGTGATATCAGTTGGAGCAATAGTAGATTACAGTTCATTCCACTTCATTGTTTTTTTGGTACTGACTTCTGGTTCTCTCTGGCAAACAACCGGGCCATGATTTGAGGGATATTTGCTTAAGAAAATGGATGAGATTGAGTTGTAAGTAATTCCTGTTGGTCCTAGGTCATATTTTATTGTCAGATTGAGACCCAATTCCTGTCAAGGACAGAAGAGCTTCCACTTAGTAACTGTTTATAAAAACTCTAAGGATACCGAGATCCTTTCATTTCATTTGCCTGTTAACCACTTCTCTCAGCAACCAGAAACTTGCAGAATGAATGGAAAATGCATTGCTGAAGCGGGGAGTTCTTTTTCCTAGATAATGAAATGTGACACAAGGGTCAGATCCACCCTTGGATTCCAGGCAGGGAGTGTGTCTCCGCAGAAAGGGTGAGGCATTCTGGGCAGGGGACCAGGTGGGCAGAGCCCTGCAGACCTGCAACACCGAGAAAACTGGGAGAGTTGGGGAGCAGGCTGGGGCAGAGTGCCAGGCCTTGTGCCCTGCTGAGGGGTGTCTGCACCTCCTCAGCTCTGCTGCACCGAGTCCAACTCCCAGGCCCTGTCTAGTGTCACTTCCTGGCTGTGTACAGCCCTTGGACCTGGTGTGGCACAGTCCGAACCTTAGCTTTTCCCTCTGTGAAATGGGAATCTAGACAGAATCCCTGGGCCACACAGCCAATGACTTAACCATTGGGCAAACATTCTCTCTAACCCCAGAGGGAAACCACTGGGGAAGGAAGCTCTGCAGGGCAAGCATCCACGCTGAGGCTGGGTCAGCCCTTGTGGACTTAGCAGGGTTCTCCTCTCACGGAGATTCTCCCTGGTGTTCGCGGTCCTTACAAGCACCCGGAGGGAGACACGAACATGAGGACCTTAGTATCAGACCTCCTTTCTGTCCTCCCAGCCACCAGACCCAGCCCGGCTTACACAGAAGTGCTCCTGGCCACGTCTTCCTGTCTCTGTTGCCGTCGCCAGTGCCTTGGTTTGGGTCCTGGAATCGGTAGCGGTTGGCCACTCTTTCTCTTCTAATTCATTTTCCTTTCACCAGCATGTTCCTCCTCTAAACACTTCCACCCTGTCGTCGCCTGCCAGCTGGCTGTTGAAGCCTTTCGTGGTCCCAGGTCATTCAGGAGCCTTTGGTCTGCAGGTGCGCGCCCGCCCTGCTGGCTGTGTGAGGTCTCTCAGTGCCAGCCTCCCCGGGCTGCCCAGCCGTTTGCTGGAACCCAAAGCCGTTTTGTTTTTCTGTTAGCAGTTAACCAGTTCAGATTGGTAGAGATATGTCACTATTTCCCATGGCATTTGAAGCCTTTTTATTGGAGTGTGCAGCAAGGGTTCAGTCCTCTCCACCCACGGCACTTACCTCACAGTTGCGGTGCAGTGGCTGGGCCCGGGCATCGTTCACTTCTGTGCACTTGTGCTTCTTCGTGTCTGGCCTCCCCTTAGGGTTGTGGGGTGCAGGCTGGCACTGTGGGTCTGCTCCAGCACTTGTCCTGAGGCTGAGCCTCAGCGGGGTCCCTCTGTCACCAGTACTGACCGGCATCCTGGCGGCAGGGTCCCTGCTGCTTTTCTGCAGATGCTGATGCTGCCTCATAGCAGTTGGGTTGTGACTGACCTTTTGCATTTTGTGTTTATTCTCTAGGTCAGGATGGCTATTGGGTTGGCTTCCCACCTGGTGCCCTACATCTCCACTGCTCCTTAAAGAAGCTGAAGAGAAAATGCTAAAATGTAAGGCTTTCTGGGCTGCTTACTAAAATAGACCCGCTGTATGACCTCGCCCTGCAGCTGAAGATGCGGTCCTGTGGTGTGCTAGTTATTGATGAAGAGCGTTTTCCTCTTCCACGTCATCAACCAGTGGCGAAATGTGGAGGGGCAGTGGTTCTCAGCCTTTTCAGTCTTAGGGTACTGTTCAACTCTTAAATTAGGAAGGGCACTAAGGAGCTTTGTTTACCAGTTATAGTTAGCAGTATTTACCATGTTAGAAGTTAAAATGGAATCACTGAAAATATGTTAATGTATTAATTTATTTGAAAATAATAATAAAAGACACACTTTAGGTTATTTTAACTGAGTACTTATTTTAAATAGCATATTTGTATCATATTTGTAAAAAAAAAAAAAAATATATATATATATATATATATGGCTAGTCTCCAAAGAAAATGTAATGAGAAGAGTAGCATCGTTTATATGTTTGCAGATCTCTTTAGTGTAAGTCAGGTGAGTTCTCATATCTGTTTCTGTTTTCAGTCTCTTGGATAATCACACACCATGGGATCTCTGGAAAATACCATATACTTGACAGAGGACAAGAGTGGAAAGGAAAATAAAGTTTTAGTATTGTTATAAAAAAAAAATCTTGTCCTCAGAAGATCTCAAGGATCACACACACACACACACACACACACACAGACGCACACACAGTGTCCCCAAACTATGTACTTTGAGAACAGATTCTAGGAATCCCAGGATCTTGCATAGTAGAACAGGTGCTGGACTGTAGCCAGTTAACCTGGTTCAGGCCCAGTTCCACTACGAGGTGGTTACAGGAGCTCAGGCTCCTGGTTCTTACCTGTAAGATGAAGGAGTAGGATGGTCCTTGGGATTCTGTAAGTGTACATTTATATGGGTGTGGAGACCTTCTTTTATTAAAATGTCTTTTGGGCACTGAAATCTAGTCAAACTTCTGGCATGGCCTTCCTAGGTATCCGTGGGTATACTTCTAAGAAGTTGTGGTTATTTTGCTCTGCTCATGTGATTCAGGCGTGGGTTGAGTAGTACAGTCTGTTTACGTGATTGTTTCACACGTGCAGATGTTTGTTCACACTTGTTTTTATCCTCTTTCCCATAAACGAATGTTCTTTTTTGTACCTGTGATGACTCAGGAGCAAGTGACCAGTGCTGGATATGTACTTAGGAAGGGATAATTAGCCATCTTTTTAATATGCAGATGAATTTTTCCTCACTCCCTATGCCTGGATGATGTTGCTCTCTACAAAACTGACAAACCTGTGAATGTTGTTTACCAAAAATAATATAAATTCTTGTCAGGAGGTGAGAGGGGTGTAAGATGCTCACTGCATGCATTTAAGCAAATGTTGGTTCCTTACCCTGTAAACTGGGGCTGAGACGAGAGTGAGAAGTAGCTCCCGCTCCTGTGTCAGCTAGGAGAACAAGGGCCTCACAGAGCCCCTGCCATGCAGTCGGCGAGCCCTCTGGTCAGCGCTCACTTCCTGTGTCACTTCCGGCTCTGGTTTCCATGCTCACTTCCTTAGCTTCCCCTCATGTAGGCACATAGGATTGTTAATATTCTGCGTGAATGCTGGTTTCCTGTTTGCTGCCACTGTGTAAATACAAAAGGTAAAATCAGTTCTTTGGTTAAAGGGCAGAAACAACTGGTTCTCCATATTTGGCTCCTGCAGGGGAATATACACAGATAATTAAGGGGTATATCTAAAGTTTAGTTATTCCAAAAAATAAAATAAAATAAAGCTTAGTTATTCAGTTGATATGTTAATCATAAAGAATTTCAATTTTCCTTGCATCTTTAGGTAATTTGGGGTGCTGTGTATTGAGGTAGATGCCATTAAATGCAAGTTAAGAATTTTGCTCTACAAGATTGTGATTATTTGCATTTCCTGCCTGATTGCTGGACTTGAAATCCGGCCACCTGGTGCCTCATGCTGACTGACTAGTTCCTGCCTTACCTTATTAGCTTTTTCTACTAAGCTCTGAAATGACTGATGGTTTGAGTTGTATTTAATATGCATACCATTAAGCCTTCCCTAAACTCACGATGACTTTTCACGACATCAGTCTTCAGTGCTTGCTTACTTCATCAGGTGTTTTGTGTTCTTTCTTGCTGGCTGCAGAGCTGGAGACATGAGCTAGTGGGCCCAAGCCCTGCTCCAGTCACGAAATTCCTTCCTTTACAGAGTGGAAGCCAGGCGGTAATGACTTGCCGAAGACTTTGGCCACAGGTGCTTGAGGCTTGTCTGAGATGGATTTTCCCACTTAGATGGAAAACACGGTCATTTGGAATTGCTTGATTCAGTAAAATAATGTACCCCTTTTAGGGCGGACATAATAAAGGCTCAAATCATATGTGCTTCTTAGATCATGACTTTTTGTTTTGGGAGTACTTTGCCTAGAAGTAGCGAAGCTAAGCAGAATTTCTCTTTTGTGTTTTTATTAGGTGTCCCATGCACTTACCAAAAAGAGTCTGTTCTTGTATCTAATGGAAATAAAATATGGACACTGAAGTTCTCTCAGGATATTTCAAATAAGACTCCACTTGTCCTCCTCCATGGTTTTGGAGGCGGCCTCGGACTGTGGGCGCTGAATTTTGGAGCTCTTTCTACCGACAGGCCCATCTACGCTTTTGACCTGTTGGGCTTTGGACGGAGCAGTAGACCCAGGTTTGACAATGATGCGGAGGAAGTGGAGAACCAGTTTGTGGAATCCATCGAAGAGTGGAGATGTGCGCTGGGGCTGGACAGAATGATCCTGCTCGGTCACAACCTGGGGGGCTTCTTGGCTGCCGCCTACGCGCTGAAGTACCCGCTGAGGTAAGTACGTGGTGGTGGCACCCGGCTCTGGTTTCCTTGTTCGGTGGTTACTAGTGACTGGACCGCCTGGGACAGTCCCTCCCCTCAGGGAACCTGGGGACCAGGTGGCCACGACCGATGGCCAGTTTTCTAGCTGAAATAATGGTCCTCCTGTTAAACTGCTGCACATTGATAAGTTTGATAAAGGACTGTATATTTGTTACTTAGAATTACATGAAATTTAGTGCATAATTTAAAACTGAAAATACAAATTACTGTTATTATTTATTGTTATCATCGTATTAAGTCTTTTTCCTGTAGGCTTTTCCTACCTTTTCTAAGGAGTGGTAAGCTGTTTTAGAAACAAAAGGTTAGAGTTAAGACAGTCTAGGCCAGTGGTGGCGAACAAATGGCACGTGTGCCCCAGTGTGCTGCTTGCATGGCTGAAAGCTCTGAAAGGTTCGCCATTGTCGATCTAGGCACTAGTGCTATCTTTGACTTGGAGTAAATTGCGGAACCTCTCTAAACTTTAGTTCCTTCAGAGTGTATCATCTTCCAGGTGCTTTGTTTTGTTTTTCTGTTGGAGACTAAACCCATGGCCTTGCACATGCTGGGCAAGGGCTCTACCACTAAGCTACATCCCTGGACTCCTTATTTCTTGCTCAGTTGCCCTGGCTGACCATGAACTTCCTGCCCCACCCTCCCAAGTAGCTGGGAGACCGGGCGCATCCCTGGGCCAGCTGCTCCCTCGGTCGTCTTATACCATCCCTGCTGTCTCACTGTGGAGCTCTTTCTTGGTCATTGATTTAATAAATGTTTGTTTCTAGCATTACCCTCTTCCTTTAGCTTTTTAAAAATACTCTTTCCTGTTATTCATGCTGCCACTTGGGGAGGGGGGGTCGCAGTTGAGTGTGGAGCAAACAAGAAAAACTCTGTTTCATTCATTTTTGGGGAAAGAAATTGAAAACTGAATGTCAGCATCTTTGTGTTGCCGGGATGTTTTTGTGCTGGCCTCACTTCCAGTGCAGCGCTGTGGTGGTGTCCACGCTGAGGGTGGCAGTCATCCTCTGGGTGCCTCTGACTCAGGTGTGTGCTCCACACAGTGGAAGTCGCAGCCACTGTTTCTCCGGGGACATTGCCTGGATTGAGCATTCTTACCTGGTCTTTCTGGAGACAGCATAGTTCACGGCGCACTAAGCAACAATCGTCTTGTCAACTCTCAGCCCTTTTCTTTCAAAAGAAACTCAAAGTGTCTCTCCCGGTTGTCATTGTAGAGATTATTCTCATCTGTTATGCCTTGCATTTAGTGACAGACTCCTAGCTGTGCGTGTGAAGGAGGAAAAGGAAGTGGCTGCTTTCTGGTGTAGGACGCAGCTGTTCACAAGAGCTGCCTCCTCGGGCAGCGGGCTGTGTCTGCATCGTAGAGACGTCTGTCCTGCCACACTGAGTCTGGTGGTGTCTCTGGAGGTGGGACCCTGCTGATTAAGCCCCGAGGTCATAGCAGCCTGACCCTTTGTGGCCTGGTGACGGCAGGTGGTGAGATGGGCTTCTGTAGCCGTGAAGTTCTGTAAAGAGGCGGGAGCTGCTGGGATCCAGAAGCCCTTCTATAAAAGACAGTAGCAGAAGGGATCCACACCCGAGTGGTGGCCCTCACCACACTGATGGCAGCTTGGAAATGGTCACTGACGTTTGTACCTGATACAGAAGTAACCCTGGACGGAGAGCTGTGTCAGCACCGGGGCACCAAACCGGAGGAGGTGGGTAGGAGAATGGTTGGAGCAACTCGCGTGTGTGAATTCCGCTGGTCGCCACCAAAATACTGTGTTCCACAGAGTGTACGGGGCACTCGCGCCGCTATCGTAGCCTGTCCGTGTCTCCGCCTGTGGTCTTATGTCAGCAGAGGGAGAAAACAGAATCAATGTGGTTGCATTTATTGGGACTTGGTTACATAAAACTGAAATTATTAAACACAAGTTCATTCCAGCACGATTGAGTTCCCCGGGCTTTCGGGTGTCCCGGCCGTGGTCACTGCAGATGTGCGTGTTGGTGCTGTGGGGGACCCGCACTCGAGCCAGTGTGGCCCTCGGCCCCTCCTCAGGCCAGCGCTGCACTGCGGGCTACTGTTGCCAGCCGCTGCCCGGCCTCTGGGGCGTCTCAGGGGCCTGCGGAGGCTTCCATGGTGCACACAGCGCTTCTCAGGCATGGCGAGAAGGCACTTGAACGAGTGTACGGTGCCTACGCTAAATGTCATGCCTGGTGTTCTCTTGACACGGGGTGCATTTTTATTTTGCTTTCATGAGATTTAAAGGAATCTCTGCGTTTCAGAGAGATGTCCAAGGGGCTGAATGGGGTGGAGGTGGAGTGGAGGCCTCTTGAGGAGAAGCAGGCTGCACTGGGGTCTAGCGGTGGTGCCCTAGCACATAATGCTTGGGCGGAAGGGTTCTGCAGGTCGCATGGCAGGAACCCAAGGCCCCCTGCTGGGAAGGCCAGTGTGGGCAGAGATGTGGTGCCCTGGTGGTGACTCAGGGTGACTCAGGGAAGGACGCCCCGTCCTTCCCCCGGACAGCTGCAGCTCTTCTCAGTGTGCTGCCCGATGCCCAACCATCAGCGGTGCCGCCTGTAACTTCCGCCAGAGGTTGATGTGCTGGCTCACAGACAGCAGGGTGGCTCCCCGGGTCACCAGTGTCCTGGCGGCCTTGATGTAAACCCAGCCTCAGCAGGCAGAGGACACAGGCTACAGTGGCCACCTCGGGTACCATCGGCTTTCTTCCAGCTCTGTTCTCAGTAGTTTTTTCCTCAAATTTTCTTTCCTTCTGGTCCCTGCTGCTCAGAACCTCACACCAAAACTATCTGTGTTTTATGGGTATTTGCCATTCAGAGCATGAAAAACCCCTCTCACAATTTCTTTCTGGTACAGTCTTAGCAAATACTTTCATGCAGGACATTCTCAGGCTGTGAAGCCAGCAGGTACTCGGAACTGTCTGGTGTCACACTCCCTTCCTCAGGACTGTGTGGTCTGGAGCACAGATGAGAACTGGCCGAGAGCTGCTCGGGCCCACCGGCATCTGTCCCGCATCAGAGAATGTCTCAGCTCCCTTCCCACCATGAGGGAAGGCTGTGCCGAGTGCTCTGCCGGCCGGTAGAGCTCTGTGCTCAGAAGCTTTCTGTTTGAAAAATGCAAAGTCAAAACAAATTCTCATCAGCGACTCAACCATACGTGTGCTGACAGAAATAATGCACTGATTTAACACAATCCCACTGGCACGCCCTCCCCTCTTTACCTTTCTGCCTCAGTTACGATTTAGCAAGAGGGCGTCGGAGTCGTCGTCAGTTGGTCCTGCAGCGATGTTGGCTGGCATGTGTTGGCGGGTTCGGTTGCAGCTGCATTGCAGCAGAAGGGCCTTGGTGGTCGGCTGGGATCTCTGGGATGTGTAAAAGTACGACCTGGCACTTTGATTCTTCTGGTTTTTCTTCATCAAGAGCAAGTTTCATAAAATGGAAAAATTAAAACTATCAATGATATGAGGCCGTTTTATCTGAAGTGGGACCAGGTGTTTGGTTAGTAGGAAGCATTGTTAAGCCGGAGCCTACGAGTGGTGTTGTGGCTGGGAGGGTAGGGCCTCCCATCTCTGCAGGGAGTGTTGTCACCTGTTTCTGGAATCACTACTCCTGCTTGCGGAAAGGTTCATTTAAAGCCCTGTTGGTCTTACAGTGTGGTGTTCAGCCTGCACTCGTTTCTTCTGTTTGAACCGCGACTCACGTGGAACTGGTGGGTTTCCCTGAGTGATTAGTAATCTGCTTCACCTGCCAGAATGTCGCTTAAACAAAAGATGCCTCTTGCTTCCTGAAGGAGCAGTTACATACCCGGCTCGCACACCTCTTTTGTTATCCACAGTTAGACCTTCCAGTAAAGACCTCTGCCTACCGTTCGGCTTTCAAATCCTATCGGGCCTCACACACAGAGTGAGCATGGCGTAACCTGCTTGGCAATTAAGTCTTCTCGTCCACGCATGTTTTCAAAGGTGGTTTGTTCTGCCTTTATTTGATAAATCTGCTATTTTTTTGTAGTCTTCAGGTGAACTTGCCAAATGCACCTAATTCTGTCCCCTCCCTAACAGGGTCAGTCATCTCATCCTAGTGGAGCCATGGGGTTTTCCCGAACGCCCAGACCTCGCCGATCAGGACAGACCGATTCCAGTGTGGATCCGAGCCTTGGGAGCAGCACTGACCCCGTTTAACCCCCTAGCTGGCCTCAGGATCGCAGGACCCTTTGGTGAGTGCTGCAGCCTGGGAAGGAAGTGTGTATAGTAAGGAGTCTGAGATGTGGACACCTGGCCTGTACCGGGTCTGCGCCCTGCAGACCCACCGGAAGTTGAAGTATATTAAGTAGCAGGTGAACCTGGAAACCTCCTGGACACCGTGGCTGGGCAGCATGGCACCCCAGAGAGCAGTGGTGTCACCTTTGTGGTCCCCACCCAGCATCATGAGCCTCACAGCCCAGTGGAAGACGGAACCCAAGTGCAGGGCCTACTGACCGCGGCCGCTGTGCCATTGTCATGAAGCCAGAAAACCCCACGTCGCTCCGTCGTGAATGGGCGATGTCTGCACTTGCCAGTCAACACTGTTAGAATCTTTTTAAAAACCCCCATGCCCTTGCTTTTTCTCTCCCTCCTCCAGTAAGTCCCAGGCCATGCCCAGTATGAGCAAAACCGGCCATCTGACAGGAATCTTGGCACCTTAGGGACCTGGGAGGGCTGAGGGCGAGGTGTCAGCCTTGGACTCTGACAGAAGCCAGGCAGGCAGTGCGTCTCAGCCCAGTCCCGGGCACAGGAAGGAGGGTCCTGGGCACCCTGCTGGTGACCATTCGGGAGCATCTGACTGGGTGACAGTGGACAAGTGGACAATCCAAGTGTGACCCCAGGGGGACAGCAGGTTTCGCCACCTGAGATCACTTCCTTTCTACATGAGGACAGAGTGGTGGGAAGGGAAAGCCAGCCTCCCCTCAGGTGTGCCGGGCTCTCCTGATGTGTGTACTGCTCTCTGTACCCAGAGATGCCGAGTTAGGCGTGGGAATCCCTCCTCTTCTGAAGTGTGTCATGAGGAGTGGCCGAGCCACAGGTGCCTGAGGGGTGGCTCCCCCTGCGTGCTGTCATCTCCTTACCACCGGTCTGGAGCTCGGGCAGCTCTGAGCCAGGGCTGGGTCTGCATCTGGGACCCTCTTGGCCATTCTCTCCTGTCTGCTGGATGGTTGCCATGGCATCAGGCCCCTCACAGAGGGGCATCTGGACCTGGGAGAAAGGAAAGCAGAGAAAGGGCCCTCCCTCCCCGGTCCGCGCCCACGCTCTTGTGTGTCCACCACCCCTCACCAAGCAGATCTGGCGCTGACATTCAGGGCTTGTTCCAGGCCTGGGGTGGGCGCCGCTGTTCTGAGAGGGGCCGGGTCCTGTCCCTTGTCCCCCAGCCTCCTGGCCCTAGCCTGCGCCTCCCTGGGGAGCTGCTAAGAGCCAACTCTGCAGTCCCAAGACATGAGTGGGCTCGGGAGAGAACGTACAGGTGACTGAGGGTGCGCTGAGCCTGAGTCCCCACCCACTGTCGCCGTGTCCCGGGGCAACACAGATGTGTGCAGCGCCCAGACCTTGGTGGAGCAGCAGTCCCGGGGTGTGTGTGCATATGCACAAGTACATGTGCAGTGGAACCTTGCTGGGGCAGCAGAGCTGGGCCCACTGCGGACACTCGTAGACCTCTTTTCTTCGCCCGCCCTACCACCCTCTCAAGAGCAGGCTGTGAGGTCTCGGGTGAGCTGTGGGTACCAGCCCCAGACACAAACTCAGAGTCACTCTCCCGCGGAAGTATCCATGAACCCAGTCCGCTTCACTTAGAACGCTGATTGCTGTAGCTGGGAGGAAACAGGTGAACATGTTCACTTCACGGGTAGCCTGCCCTAGGCACTGTTTCAAGACCACCTCCCTCAGATCGTCCTGGGAAACGAACTGATGCTTCTGAGCTCCTGACGCACATCCGTAAGCCGGGCTGCCGCGTTTCTGCTTCTGGCCCCCTCGTTCCTTTGGGAACTGGAAAGTGGCTTCCAGAGGGGCTTTACCCCGCGAAGCTTAACACCGACCCGCAGCTAACGTAACTGCAGACTTGCGTGCTTGTGTTTCGGTGGACAGGTCTGAGTCTCGTGCAGCGGCTGAGGCCAGATTTCAAGCGGAAGTACTCGTCGATGTTTGAGGATGACACGGTGGCAGAGTACATCTACCACTGCAACGTGCAGACGCCCAGGTGAGGCCCCAGCCTGGACTGCGTGCTGCTCTACACTTTTCTTTTGAAAATACGTCAGTAGCCCAGATTTTTACTAGTAGTTAAATAAGAAGGGCAAATGTCTAAAGGTGCAAATGTCTAGCCACATGCATGCTAGGCATCCTACATTCCCAGCCCTTTATTTTGAGACAAGGGCTCACTGACTTGCCTAGAGAACAGCTTCTGTGTGATCCTCCTGCCTCAGCCTCCCTAGTAGCTGGGGTTACACAGATCTGTGCCATACCCAGCTTTTCCAAGTCTTGCTTACTCATCTGTTTGTTGAGTACCCACTAAGCAGACTGTGCTGAGTTCTGATAGGGATCAAAGAGTGTGGGGTACACTTTCTCCCCCTAAAGTACTTTGGGTAAGGTGAGGAAGTCCTGGTCTTAGGGATCCCTTAAGTGGTGACCTGGAGTGAGAGACTTGCCCAGCAGATCAGGGTGTACAGAACCTCATTCTGGTCCTGCGCAACCTCATCTCCTGTGCCTGTGCAGTCCTGACGGCCTTTCTTGTGCTGCAACTCAGGCCATTCCCAAAAGGACGTTCAGAGTGAGGTCTTGTCACCGAGAGCAACAGGAAGGACAGCAGAGTGGCTCTCCTGAGGTGTGGTCCGAGGCTGGGCCTCGAGCCAGGGAGATGGCCTTCTTGCTTTGCTTCGAAAGATGCACGTACTCGTCCTCCGTCCTCACAGGAAGGGGAGTAAGCTAATGATTTAATAGGACAGTGACAGTTGCTTACTTTGGCTTAGCAGAAGATCACTCTTTAATCAGCTGGAGTTTGCAGCAGCTGTATTTATCTGAAGGCGATGTGTTTGGGGTCCTCCTGCTGTCTAGGTGATTCTCTTTCCCTTACCTAGAGAAGCCGTTAGGGCCAGGCTTTGGGAGGAGGAGGCCGCGTGCCCCACCCTGAGTCATGCCGTGTGCTCTTCTTCCTGCAAAGCGGTGAGACAGCCTTCAAGAACATGACCATCCCGTACGGCTGGGCCAAGAGGCCCATGCTGCTGCGCATTGGCAAGCTGCACCCTGACGTGCCAGTGACGGTGATCTTTGGTGCACGCTCCTGCATAGATGGCAACTCAGGCAGCAGCATCCAGGCCCTGCGACCACGGTCCTATGTGAAGACCATAGTAAGTGTGTGCAGGCAATGGTTTCCAGTCCCCGCATCCTGTGCACACTCACAGCCCCCCAGTAGAGATGCTGTGGGCATGGCGGGTCAGGCCCTGGCTGGCTGGCTGGACAGGGCGGAGGTGCAGCAGGTTTTCCTGTTCATCTCCCATCTTTTGCTAGAAGTCCCTGACCGAGGGCTTGCATCCGGGGTTCATTTGAGTGCAGCGGCTGTGACTGGGGCCCTTGGTCCCTCCCTGACCCATCCTGTCCCCGCCAGGCCATCCTCGGGGCGGGGCACTACGTGTATGCAGACCAGCCCGAGGAGTTCAACCAGAAGGTGAAGGAGATCTGCAGCTCGGTGGACTGAGCTGGGCGGCTCCCCAGCAGGAGCAGCGCAGACGAGTGGCCACCCCTGCCTGCGCTCTGCCGAGTGCGTGTGTCCTGTCCTGTCCGAGACACCTGCACACTCGAGCCACTTAGTGCCTTCTAGAAGACGGATTTCCTTTCTCCGCACACAATTGAAATACACAAGTCTCCAAATTTAGTAACTTTAAATAAAAGGTTATTTGTCCCTCTGGTACACTGAAAAATTGTACTTTTTTTAACCATTATTGTTTGTTCACTTTTCCTAACTCTGCTAGCCAAGTACTTTTCATATGGAGGTGTGTCTTGCCAATTTAAAGAAATGGTTTCTGGGTTGATTGTGTGACACCCTGTAAAAGTGCGCTTTATATTCTTTGTATGTATTTATCTATCATGTCTCGTAACAGATACAGTTCACCCAAATGTAAACACTGTCAGCCGTTTAGACCTCATTGCTGAAGTGGAGTGACAGGCCCGGCCTTGCAGGAAAGGGGCGGCAGTTAGTCCCTGCTCACCGCTCCGCCTTCCCTCACTTTGTACTTTTGGCCGCAGCCCCCGTGCAGCATGTTCAGTAGATGTGTGCCGAAGCGAGCGCTGTGAGGCGTCTTCATTGTCAGCTGTCCTGACCCGTGGCCCTGCACCAGCACAGCTCCTGGGAACCGGCTCCGTGTGGTCTGGGCCTGCATTTCTGAGACAGTGCGACTTTAACACTGAACAGCCTTAACCACGAAGTGGCTCCTCTTTCTTTTCCCTCTCAGTGGTGATCTTTCCAGGAACCAGGGACACAGGTGTCCTCCCTGATGGGGACACGGACACTGTGACCTTTCCGGAGCCAAGTCATCTCACGTTTCCTTGAAATCTAACTCTTGTACATGGGTGCTAAACCTGGGTTGCATTTTCACCACTAAAGTATGAAATGAGCTAGCATTAGGTTTGCTTTCTATTGAGTACTGTGTTGATTAAACCATGAACATACTTGAAGTTGTATTCCAGAAATTCTATAATGTTGATTGAACTATTTGACAATAACTACCATCATGCATAGCACTTTTTTTGTAGTTTTGGAATGAGGAAAACTTTGAAATTGTGAAAACTCCCTGCAGTAAATAAAGACTGCTGTGCAGAAGGAAGGGAAGGAAATGGAACTGTCCCCAGCAAGGCATCTGCCTTCTGTTTTGTTACCTCTGCTTATCTGGGAAAAGGTGGGTTCTGTAAATAAAAAAACAGTGAACTAGAACAAATAGTGCTTCATGGCTTGGGTTATTGCCTTTTTGCAGTGGCTGTTTGGTTGGGGAATTAGCTTCTGGGTGAAGTGTAAGATCCTGCGACTGCGGGTGGATGGGAACCAGACCGCATGCTCTGTTCCCAGTGTTCTCTCTCCAGCGAGGAAAAGGCAAACTGTCCTCCTTTGTCTGCCCCTCAGGCAGGGCAGTGTGAGGAGGTACCTGGTGCTTGCGGTGAGATAGCCATTCATGCTGATGCTTTGGCATGGACTGGTCTGCTGTTCTTGTTACCACAGGACAGGGACTGATGAGCATAAACATTTGTCTCTGTCCTGAGGCCTTCTAGCACCTGGGCCGCCCCACCAACTCGGGAGGGAAAGGACGGGTCTGGAATGTCTTGTGCCGGCCGGCAGCCATGCAGTGAGAGAAGGTGGTGGGGCGGGGCCCAGCCACTGACTGGAGGGGTCTCCATGGCCAGAGTGGGACAGTTTGACAGAAAGAATGATGCTTTGAAACAAGAATCACATAAAACCCATGAGATCATAATGCTGTTAAAGTGAGTGGTCGGCTTTGGCAGTTACTAGGACGCTGACTCAGTATTTTAAAAGTTGCCAAAGGGAAGAGGGGACACTTATCCTGACATCTTTGTTAGCATGATAATCTGGTAGGGGGGTGTCCTTGGGCAGGATTTATCACTAAGCTCCAGAGGCATGATGGGATTAAGCGCCAGAGGTATGATGGCACCAGCACCGTGTTTCTACTTCATACCAACTGATGGATCTGGGCTGCTGAAGCTATTAGGGGGACGTTAACGGGAAACATTTCACTGGATGACTTGGTCTGGTAACACGTAAATCCAGATCAATTTTAGCATTATTGGAAAAAGAACAAGTAGACATTACATGCCTCTGATGTGTTACAATAGCAAGAGCTCAACACAGCCATGATGAATTATTGCCCCAAATAAAATCGAGCCTGAGTATAATCAGGTTTCAACATGTAGCAGGTTTATGGAGATAGGCTGGTCACAGTGATACACGTAATCCCAGCACTCTGAGAGGCTGAGGCAGGAAGATTGCAAGTTTGAGCCCAGCCTGGCCTACACTACATAGTAATTTAGCAAGACCCTGTCTCTAAATAAATAAATCAGTAAATAAATTAATTAAATTAAAATGTAGCTCAGCAAAAAGGCCCTGCGTTCAAACCCTAGCACCCCAAAATACAAACAAATGAGAAACCACTAGAAATTAAGAATGCATCAAGATGTTAAGCCAGAAGGTGGGAAGTTACAAATAATCTTTGGCCAGTTGCAGCTGTAAATAAAAATGGTGGTGGGTTAAAGGTTAGAAAATGTAAAGGACTTTGTATGCATTCTTATTTGAAAAGAACTAACTTAAAATGACATTTTGAAACATGTAGAGAAAAACTTAAGGACTAATTGATGATGTTAAGGAATTGTTGATTTTGTTGTGTGAAATAGTGATATAGTGACTTTTTAAAGTCCTTTTCTGTTAGAAATTCACTTGTGTATTTGCAGTTGACGTCATTCACATTATGACTGGGATTTAGCTAAGCACAATCCAGGGAAGAAGGAAAACTGAACAGAACTGGGCAGAAAAACATTGATGCTGAGTGATAAACACCTATGAATTTAGATGTCTATAGTGGTGCACATTTGAGAATTTCCATGTCACAGTCAGGTGTGGTGGTGCACGCCTGTAATCCCAGCACTGGGGAGACTGAGGCAGGAGGATCACCAGAGTTCCAAGTCAGCCTGGGCCCCATAGTGACTTCAAGGCCAGCCTGAACTACATAGTGAGAACCTGTCTCAAAAAACAACAAAACAAGAATTCCCATCCTGGGAATTTACAGAATAACAACGGAGAGAGAGCTTGAAGAGGTCCTGGGAAACCGCTTCAGGGAGCCCTGCCTGGGTCTGGCCAGCTGGAAGGAGGGAGCGGTGTCCAGGAGAGGGGAGAGGCGGTGAGGGGAGTCACTGGGGTGGGCGTTGCCTTGTGAGAAACCATTCGCAATGGGTGGCACTTCCGGAGTCCTACTCACAGCCCCGACATGCAGACGCCCCGTGGATGTCCGTCTTGCAGCGTTACAGTGCTACAGGGTGGAACACAGTGGGTTAAAGTCACGGTGCATTCATAAATCAAGAGCTTTGTGGAAAATTTCTGAGGTATCGCTAAAAACCAGAGCATGCGGCACATTTCAGACAAGTGCAGACACACATGCGTGCATGCATACAGAGCGGTGCCGCAGGCACGGCAGGGACTCAGTGACACATAACGCTGGCTCCCATGCGCAGACATTTGGGGAAGAGAAACTCCTGCGGGAGTTTGTTGACAGTGCTTAGCTTCAGACAGGGATGGCTCCTTCTGTTGTCTGTGCTTCTGTAAACTTTGCAGTCTTATGCATTCCCTGCATTTTAGTAAACCAATAAAGTGTAGGAAAAAAATCTTTTCGGATATTGTATTGTTAGAACTGGCTAGAATTACCTTGTCTGTTTTCTGACTGTAGCCTGGCTTTTTGCTTGCTTAATTAGATTAGTTCCCAAGTTTAAAATGTAAAGCAGGCCCATTGGCAGGCGGGCACCTGTGATGTCAGTGCTGGCTCGGCTGAGGCAGGAGGATCGCCACAGTTTGAGGCCAGCTTGTGCTATACAGCGAGATCCTGTCTCAAAACAAACAAATGAACAAGCGTGGTTTTAAATTATCAAGTATTTCTGAAGCACATAGGTAAGGAATTTTATTCCAGCATATACTTTAATCCTTAAAAATATGTGTAAATGTCCACCATGACTTTAAAGTGTTACAGGGAGTGCGGGTTAATGGAGAGTTGAGTGGGGCTGCTGTTGAGAGACGGTCCCTCGGCGTGTGCTAGACACTGGGCCAGGACACTGAAGACACTCAGGAAAGAGGACTCCAGAGCTGCTGCGGGGAGTGGCCAGAACCACAGGATAAGAATATTTGAAGTGAGGGTGAGGATTTTGAGGAGGATTCACAGCAGTGTGGCTTTCACTGTGATAGTTCTTTAAAAATGTAAACGGGACACCGTGTCTTTGGATCACCCCTGGTATCTGCACCACGGGGCTGTTTAACGCAATGCCGTCAATGAAGGACAAGCGCACAAGGGCGACGCTGAGTGGAAGAAGCCAAGCACGAGAAGCAGGCGACCTAAACACGACCTGAGCAGCCGCAGGGCTCTCGGTGTGGGGAGCGGTCGCTGTGTGGGCTGAGCAGGACTCTGGGGGGCGGCGTGGCTCCTCTGTCTGCGTGCGGGCTGCCCCTGTACATCCTGCCCGGGGATGTTCATCCAGGGCACTGTTAGGATGTTTTTGCACTTCTCGGCGCAGTGCTCAGGACAGATTTTGTAAACAGATCGATGGCCGGTCACGGCGTGGCACTGCGTGCCACACACCAGGCTTTTCCTAGGCGCTCTCCACGCACCGTGGTATGGTACAGATGAGAAACCTGAGGGTAAGGGCCGTTCTAGGGTCACCCTCTGTCCTGCAGGCATCACACAGTCGCCTTAGGGGTCACCTAGGAAACAGGCCTTGTGCTGGGCGACAGTGACTGTCCCAGACATGGCTGCCCGCCCGGGAGCGGGCGCCCGCTGCGGACGGTAGGTGCAGCTCCAGCCCTGCCTGGTGCTGTGCCGGGATGAACTGCTAATTGCTAAACACTGTGATTAAGTGGGGAGGCCTCAGTTTAATCCGCCAGGATTGTCGCCGACCACGGTAGTGTGAAAGGGGCCATGATGAATGAGCTCGCTAATAATCTTTTCCTTTACTGACACCCTTTTATGTTCTGGCAGGCGTGCGGCCTCCTCCCCTCACCGCGCAGCTACCTTCTGTCCTGTAGCCCAGCCTGCCTGGCGGAGGGGCCTGAACTGTGGCCCGTTCCGGGCTACTCTCCTCCCGCCTGGGGCGGACGGTGTGGGGCCCGGCCTCAGTGCTGTCAGGCACCGGTTCCTGGTTTTCCTCTTTTCTCAAAGCCCCCTTTCCTTCCTTCATACCTTTGTTCCTTCATTCCTGCTTCCCTTGCCCTCCTCTTTCTTTTCTTTCCTTTCTCCCCCCCACTTTTCTTTCTTTTTAGCAGTACTGGGATGGAACCAGAGGGCCTTTGCCTGAACTACATCCCTGGCCCTATTTTAGTTTTAATTTTTAGATACTGCTCTGCTAATTCCATATATTGCCCGGGTTGGGCTCAAATTCATGATCCTCCTGCCTCAGCCTCCCAGAGTGCTGAGATGACCGGCAAGCACTGCCACACCTGGCTTCCATAACCTCTTGTCACTTCTTCCAGCACCGTCTTCCCTGACGGATGAGGGACCTGGGTGCTCTTGTGCCCAGGGCCCACACAGCCACCTCTTCTGGAGCAGCCCTGGAGACCCTGGCAGCAGGGGCTGAGGCGGGGGTGACAGCGTGCTGCACAGCTCCTCCTGGGCTCGAGCAGTGGTGGTTCAGTGGGGCCTGAGTGCTGAGGCTTCTCGTCCCGGACCTATCTCCTGTGCTCCTCCCTGCACACCGGGCGGCTCTCCTGCCGGCTGAGGGCTCCAGCCTGCTGGGTGCCGTGTGAGGTGGGCTTCCCTCTCCTGCCCAGTGAGGGCGGCCAAGCCAGAGGAGAAGGTGGCACATTCACCTTTGCTGACACGGTGCCTGCTCCCCAGACACCCACAGGCTCTCTGCCTGGCGCCTTCCTCCTGCCTGAGCCTCACCTCCAGCGCCAGCCCCTTGCCCCGACTCCCCCAACACCTGCTATCCCCCGCCTTGACCCACTGGAGCCTCGCTTTCCTGCGCCTGGTTTCCTGTCCCTGCCCACGGGATGCCCCCCCCGGGCCGTGGCCATCCTGCCCTCCCAGGCCCACATCAAACAGCTCCTGGGGAAGCAGAACCAACAGCATATGCAGAGGGGTTCTCCTGCCCTGCCTGACGGCTGCAGAATCAGAACTGGCTCTGTTTTCCAGCTGCGAGCACCCGCACCTGTGTCCCGTGGGGGACAGCATGGCAGCCGAGTGCCGTCATGGCACCTGCCTGTATTCACAGCCGCCTTGCACTGTGCGACTGGATTCCATGAGGAAACGCAGGCCATGGATTAAATACATGTTGTATTAAGAAGCTTCCCATTTTATCGCAGGCTGTGCAGTGCCAGAAAAGCGTTCTGCATGTTAATTAAGAGAGCCGGGCTTTTAAGACTTCTCCCTCTAACTTTGTAATTTCTTTGGGGCTGGGGGGCTCTAGGGAGACTCCTCGAAGAGTGGATCCCGTCGGGGGGACGGGCCGGGCCTGTCTGGGGGCCTACAGCAGGCTGGTTGGGCGGCGGCTGCGAAGTAGCTGGAGAGGTGGCAGAGGACTTCTGCCTTCAGTGGGCGCTGTGCCCTCTGGGCCAAGGCTGGAATGTGGCCCAGGGAACAGTTAAGCAAGAGGCAGGATGAGAACTGAGCGAGCCCAAGAATCAGAGTGGAGCGGATGAGCTGGGATTCCGGGAACGGAGCATCTGACCTCACGCCCAGTGAGGCGGCAGCGTGGCCAGCGCGGTGTGGCAAGAACGAGGGGCGGCAGGAAGGTGCCCCCCTCAGAGGCACTGTGGTGACAGAATGAAGGCCGGCCTTGCAGTTCTCTTGGCCTGGGCTGAAACGCGGAGCCAGGCCTTGCTGGGACTCTGTCTCTAGGGGAGGAGCCCGGGCAGGCTGGATTCCCAGACACAGGTGCGCCCAGAATCCCGCGGCCGGTACCTGTGCCCCCTCCGGGAGGCAGAGACTCCGAGCTCCGCCCAGCTGCTGGGCCCCTCTCGCCTCCCCCCTCCCCTGCAGGCCGGCTGCTGCTCACCTCAGACACTGCTGGGCCCTGCCCTGCACACTCTGCTGCCCGTCCAAAACCCCCTGCCCCTGAGCTCTGGAGTCGTGCAGGGTGAAAAGAGCGCTGCAGCTGCGGCGACACTGAGACAGCCTGCTGAGGTCTGCCCAGGCCAAGGCGAGGCCCCTCCTCCCCTGACCACCCTGGGCCGGGTTTATTGCGGCGCTGTTCCGGCCGTGGCCAGCAGGGGGCAGCCCCTCTCGCTCCGCTCCGCCCGCCTCCCTCCCTGCAGGCTTGCAGAGGCCGTCTGGGGACAGGTGCCGTGCACCCCTGGCAGCGGGCTGGTTGTCCCGCTCCTTCCTGGCTCTGTTCCGAGCTTGACAGGGGAAGATGCTCAAGTTGGTCCTGTCCCTACCGAGGGACACTCAGCCTCCTCTGCCAGAGGATGTGCCCTTAGTAACCTGGGGATGTAATGTGTTCTGAGGCGTGGCATGCCCTAGGGAGACAGTTCATGGGGGCACATACACCACACAGGGGTGTGCCCTACATGGGCAGCACATTCGTGGAGGCGGCACAGGCCTCCAAGGTGACGCTCGGGGTGGAACTGAGGTTCAGCCCTAGCCAGTCGCTTTAGGTCTGAGAACTACAGGGCACCCAACCTGCCAACCTGTGACTTAGTTTACAGTTTTATAGCCCAAGGGCCATGCAGGGACACGGGTGCTGAATCCACTGAGCTCCTGTGCCCAGCTGAAGGTGGCTGCCACCCAGGCCCAGAGCGGGGCTCCGATCCCTGTGCTCCCCACCCATGGCAAATGGTTCCTTCTTCAAGCCCAGTAGGCAGAGATGGAAGTGAGTGGGAGTCACTTAGGATTTATAAACAGTGGAATAAAGCAATACTGTCTCTCTTGTCCCTCCATTTAGTGCTCTGTTCCATTTCTTAGTGGCCCCATTCTTTATCAAGCTTGGACAGAGGGGACAGTGAGTCACACCCCAGGGATGGGCTGGGAGAGCACCGTGGTCCCCGCCCTGTGGGCTGCTGTGTCTTCACAGCATGGGAGGCTGGGCTGCACTGGGTGCGGGCAGGGTGGGGGCCCAGCTCGGTATTAGGGAGACAGAGCCAGCCTCGCTGCACCGGGCTTCTGCACTAGGATTCCGGCTGTCCTGCTGTCCTGGAGACTTCTCCCTTCAAGCAGGAAAGACGTCCCCCGCACCTGTCCTGGCCCTCACCTGGGCTCGAACCCACTTTCCTTCCTTCTTATTGAACACATGAGGGTGCTGAGGTTTGAGCAGTTACGTGCCTTAAGGAAAAGGGAGAGGTGGTCTTCACAGAGACAGGACAGCAGAGGCTGGTGTCAGGACCCCAGGGGCCCCGAAGGTGGGGCGCTCTGTGCATCGTTGGCTCCAGGTGCCCTTCGGGAACACAGCAGTGCAGGCAGGAAGGAGTAGACCAGAAGGCCTGAAGCCCAGCCGGCCATCCGGAGGCGAGGCGGGGGTCACAGGACTGGGCAGTGGCCTCTGTCCTCATATCTACCCTACAGGAAGTGGAGTGGCGGGGCGCATGGCGGACCTGGCCTCTTCGCTGGCCGTCACCCTGCCAGCTCGCCGTGGCGCATTTGGGTGTGCAGGCCAAGGTCATTGCCAAGGATGTCCCACTCTGCTCCTTGGTGCTCCCGAGTGGGGGAGTGGCAGAGGGCCGCAGGAGAGTATTGACCGTGTTGTCAAGGGTTAGTATGCATTCAGAAAGGTGTTCCTACAGACCGTGATTCTAACCCCATTTCACTAAAAGAAATCCAGAACTGGAGTTGAATGCTATCTCTGCGTTTGTTCATGAACCAGGCACCGAAAGCCCACATCTTCCTGTCCACATCTCCAGATGGTTTTGTGCTTAAAGTTTGACTTGTTTTTTTGTTTTGTTTTTTTCCTGAGATCAATACATTTGATGGAGAACAGCAATGCTTTTATCCCATGGGAGAGGGAAGTCGGTGACTTGCTCCTGGCTTTTTGGTGTTGAGAGATCTGTTTGGGGAATATGGTTTCTGCTGAGTTAAGTAGAATTGGTTTAAAACTCGTGGGGCAGATTTCATGGTGAAGTCTAAAGTTTGCAGATTCAGAGACTTGAGGGAGGGACAGTGTCCTCTGATAATTTATTTTGGTAACATTTAATTTAGCAGTCATTATTTACATCAACACTTGGGAATATCTGGGGGATCAACAGAGCCTCAAGGAGGGCCTGATCCTGTTTACAGATCTGTGCATTTGTTTTTTCTTTTATCTGTGAAGTGGCTTTTTAAATCCCAACAGAGGGGAGCAAGTCTGTCCTCTGGGTACAGGGGAGGGGAGGATGGTCCCGCTGCGGCCCCTCGAGTGCCGTCCTCTGCAGTTTGCAGGGAGGGGCAGAGAGGGGCATCCCCATGCCTCAGAGCGTGTGGCTGCAGCTTCTCTGGATGTCTTCGCGGGCCCCAGGTGAGGCGGGGCGTGGAACAAAGTCCCAGTCCAGTTCCTGGAGAGGTGGAGGGCGATGAGGCGTCGTTCCTCTGGATCGTTTCCCTGATGACTTTCGGGACAGGCTTTGGAGCAGGAGCAGCAGGACCCAATCCCCGTGGGCCAGCAGGCCAGGCCTCCTCCTGCCAGTGCCCAGGAGCAGAAGCCGGAGAGGAACCTGTGGCCAGGGGGGACATTGATGCCTATGCCTGCCTCGGAGCAGCCCAGAGTCAGCCCTGGGTCCCACACGGGCCCGAGCCACGCACAGCCTGGAGACCAGCCCAGTGGGGACACAGAGAGGAGCGGGAAGCAGGGGACGAGGAGGCCTGCCCAGTGCAGGGGAGCACTTTCCATCCAGCGCTGAGAGCGCCGGAGTCCACCCCGACACCAGAGGCCGGGACCCCTCCCTGTGGCCTCCGGCTGGCTTGGGCCGGTCCTGTTGTCACTTTTTTTTTCCACTTGGGATTCTGGAACCCCACCCAGCCCAAGCTGCGTGGAGTGGGTTTGCCTTGGTCTGTGAAGAGTCAGTGGGGTGATTTTGTCATCTTAATGAAAGGAGTCCCCAGTCTTTGCAGATTGGAAGATATCACATGTGAGCCCAGACTTCCGCTCCTCTCAGAAGCCAGGACTCTGTGACACTGGCCTGAGGCCGCAGGAGGGCGGCTGCTGTCCCTTCTCCCTGGCGCTCACACCCCACTTACAAACCCGGGCCACTGAGTCCGAACTTGATTCGCTTCTCCCACGACTGCGGGAAGGTGGTCTGGATCCGTCCATTTCATCCCATCCTGAAGATGAGGAAACAGACAGAGCAGCCGCCCGGTCACGCAGCTGCCCCTCCCTCTGCAGTGCCGCCCACCTGGCATGGACAGCAGCAGCAATGCTGGCAGTGGAGATTCAGCAGGGTGGCGTGGGGATCCCGTCTCCCCGGTGCACCCCACAGCGGCAGCGGGGTCCCTTCTGAGTCCCTTCCCTGGAGCGTGGGCAGGGCCTACACTTGCTCCCAGGGGCGGGAGGTGGCATCAGTGAGCCTCGGCCTGGCAGCAGAGTGACCCAGAGAAGAGGGTGTTTGTCACTGAAGCACAAGGAGGACAACCCGTGCTGGACATTCGGCAGGGAGCAGCCTCTGGGCACTGGAGCGAGGAAGCTGGGTTGGCCGGCTCTGGGGCACAGACGGTGCGAGGCAGTGCTGTGGGAGGCAGGGCTGGGGAGGAGGCCAGATGCCGGCCTGGCTAGCGGAGGGTCAACACCAGACTCAGCAGGTGGCGTCGGCAGGCTGGAGACCTGGCTGTGTGGTCGCAGCTCTGGCCGAGTCCTCTGGGGCGGGGGTGGAAGTGACCCTGCCACCTTCAGGCCAGCTCTCCCTCTGTGAACCGGACCCCTGATGCCAAGCTTTGTCCTGTAGCGGGAAGGTGCTGGGCCTTCACTCACAGCAGCACAGAACTTCCCGTCTCCGGCCCTCCTGCCATGGTGTGCCCGTCGCTGGCCATACATCTGCTTCCGGGCACCTGGATGTGGCTGCGACTCAGGCCAGGCAAGCAGGAAGAGAAGAGAGGTGGTTCACACAGCCTCGGGGGCCTGCACACTTCCTCTCCCTCCGCACCCTCCCAGCTGGAGTAGGTCCCTTTCTTATCCCCGGGGACTGCGTGTGAGCCCCGCATTCGGGCTATGCCGTACACACCGCCACCTGTGTGCAGACCGGAAGGGGCCCACGAGAAGCTATCGTGGAAGAGGCCTGCCTCGTGGGTGCGGTGCCACCTCCCGCCCTCAGCAAACCTGTGTGGGAGCTTGGGATCCGGACAAACAGCCCTGGGCAGGCAGGGTACAGACAGCCAGGTGTGGCCATCGCGAGAGACCTGGTCATGATGGTCGCGGGCCGTGAGAGACACCTTTGTTTTCAGTCACAGAGATGTTGCTGTCCGTTGCGGAAGCACAAGGAGGATGACCTGTGCCCTGAGCTCCACAGAAATCCCTGCCAGAGAGGACACCAAGATGGAGGCGGGAGGAGGAGAGCCTGGGGTGGAGACGGAGTCAGCCAGGAGATGGGGTGAGGGGCTTTGGAACAGTCTGTGACAGTGAGGACGGAGGGCCCTGAAGCTGTCTGGACGGCGTTGCCCCTGGCATTGGCACCACTGGCACAGGTCCAAGAGAAAGACGCAGAACACCCAGTGTGGACATGGAGGGCCGGCGGGAGGAGTAGGCAAGGGATCTGCCCCAGACCTCCGGCGACGCCAGCCTGGTGTGGGCGGGGAGAGCTCACCCCCAGAGCCCCGCCACAGCCCAGGACTCCAGGACCCGTGCCAGGCCCTTAGAGTGACTGCAGCATCTCGGGCCCGGTGCACAGCTGCTCCCGGCCGGCTTCCTCAGCGGGTCCCGTGGCACTGGGGTCACCCTAGCTGACCTCCTGTCCCCCGAAGCTGCCTGGCTGCCCATCCGACTCCCTCAGGGCCCCACACCCACGGGGGTCTGACTGTGGCCTCTTCTCCCGGGCGTGCGGGACCTCGGCCTCAGTGACCCTAAGCCCAGCCTGCGTCCAACCCAGCGCAGGGTGAAGGGAGGAAGGGCGAGTGCATCTGGAGCCGATGGCTGAGTGAGGCTGGAGAGGGAAAGACCTGAGCGAGGGCCCGTTTCCCATCTGCTGCTTACTGAGACCGTGGGATGCGAGGAGCACCTTCCTCCGAGCAGATGCTCCCCCTAGCGCCCCACCTTGGCCTTGGCCTTCTCGCCAGCCCTCTGTGCCCCTTCTGTTCGTGGTCACTGTGGGGGCTTCTCTAGGCCACTTATAAGGAGTGCGAGGGGTGCAGGAGGGTAAGCCTGGGTGGGAACTGCAGGCCGATTCCCATCTCTGCTGCCCCCTCCTTCCCGGCCTTCCCTGACCCTCGTGGGCTGCAAGTGCTGCGGTGGGAGGTGCACCTGGTTCTTGCGCTGCTGAAGACCTGACCCCTCCCTGCTGGATCTTGGCATCCCAGGAAGGAGGGAGGAGTTTGTCGCTTCCCCATGGCCTGGCGGAAGCACCCAGCCAGGGACCTGTGGCCAGAGCCAGTGGGGATTGTTGGGTGCGTGGGGCACGTGCTCTGGGGGTAGCAAGAGTGAGGTGTGGACCCTCAGCCTGGGGGCCCTCAGTGCCTCTATCCCAGCCCGGCCTCTACGGTGACTGAGACTGCAGCTTTGCCCCACCTTCCGCGGGGGGCGAACCTGGCAGGAGTGAGGAGGAGACCCCTCCCGCAGTTCTGCCTTGGCTGTGGATGACTCGGATCACGGTCCACCATCTTGGGAGAGAGGAAGCTGAGCTGAGGAGTGACACGGGGCACTGCAGGGACCCCACACGGAGCCTCCCTTCTCTCCCCTTCTCTTGGCCCCTGAGGAAGGAGCTACCCCAGAGGCCCTGCTCCTCTGTCCCCTCTCTGGTTGCAGCTAGAGGTCAGTGGTCAGGGCCAGGGCTCCCCTGGCTCTCCATGGCCCTGCCTAAGGCTATAGGCACTGTCCTGGTCACTTTCCCTGTCACTGGGACACAACGGCCGACACCCCCAACTTAGAGGAGGCGAGGTTCACTGTGGCTTGCAGTTTTAGTCCATAGTCAGTTGGTTCTGTGGTCAGCTGGTTCCATGGTCAGCTGGTGGAAGGTGATGGCAGAGGAAAAACCTGCTGGCCCGAGTGTGGCCAGGAAGCAGAGAGAAAAGAGAGGAACTGGGGACAAGCACGTGCCCTTCCAGGTCACACCCCGTGACCACCTGCACCCAGCCCCAGCCTCCCAGCAGCACACTCACCCTCTCACCCGTGGATGGACCCACTGACCAGTATGGCGCCCCAAGGACCAGTCCTTTCACAGAGGAGACTGTAGGGGGACATTGTAGATCTCGTCTTTATCTTTCTTACAGCTTCCCGGGGGTCATCTGGGAACAATCCAGCAGGAGTGTTCATAGCAGTTCAACCAATAATCAATCAAAAGCCAAGCCCCCTGCCAGCTGTTAATGGACTCCTCAAATATCTACCAAGTGCCGCCGTGCTCCTGGTGCCCTCTAGTGCTGAACAGAGTGACAGACAGAACCCCAGAGCAAGACAGGATATTGCTGGCTTAGCAAATATTCACATGGGAACACAGAACAACAAATGAGATAAACAAATATCACCAGAGAAAAGCAGAGGTGCTTCAAGAGAGGATCCCACTCTGGGAGGCTGAGGCAGGAGGGTGGCAAATTGGAGCTCAGCCTGGGGAGCTCAGCAACTTAGTGAGACCTTAGTGAGATGTTGTCACAAAAAGAAGATCGATTTTGGCTTAGAGGGAGGAATGTAAGAAAGATTGCCCTGAAAATGGGTGAGCCCACAGCAAAAGGAGGTCTTAGCCCGGGGAGGGTGCAGGCTTCCAGGGAGAGGGTGTGTTAGTGTGGAAAAGGCTCAGGGTGCTGCCAGAATCACTGAGGCAGGAGTGGCAGGAGCTGAAACTCATAGGGGCAAGAGAGTGTCCAAGCGTGGTCCCACACCACTATCCTCATCTGAGCAGGGTCCACACCCAGGCCAGGTGACCCAAACACACACCCAGGGTATAGCAGAGACACTGGAGCCAGTCAGGAGGCGAATCCCTGAGCCAGCACCAGGTGCCAGGCCAAGGTCCCTGCCCATCACTGCCTCTCTCTGCAGCAGGTGTGAGGTACAGCAGGGGCGTGCTAGGGGCCTGTGAACCAGGGTGGTGATGTGCATGGACCCTGCCATTCTCTGTAACAGGGAGGTGGCTGCACCTCTAAGTTGGGATGTGTCTTGTGACATTTCCATTGCTGAGACACAATACCTGACACTCCAAGCTAAAGGAGGAGAGGTTTACTTGGCTCACAGTTTGTGGAGGTTTCAGCCCCTGGTAGGCTGGCTCCAAGGTAGGGCATCATGGCAGATGAGCGTTGCAGAGGAGGAACAGTCCTTGGCAGGGTAGACAGGAAGTGGGGGGGAGAAGGGAGGAGCTGGGAGGGATATGAACCCTACCAGGCCACGCCCCCAATGACCACCTCTTCTGATGAGACCCCGCCTCCTAACAGCAAGTTAGCTCTGGAGCTGCCACAATCCGTCTCCTTTCGAAGCCCTATCTATGAGCTCATGAGGCTATGGTGGGACATGTAGATCTCAACTACAACAGGTTGTCTCCTCCATGTTGCAGTAAATAAGAAGGAATCTTGAACCTTCTGTTCTAGCGTGGAGCTGGAGCAAGGACTGACCACAGCTGTGCATGGCTGTTTTTCAGGCAGCTTGTTACACAGCAGTAGGTAGCTGCTACAGCACTAACAGTCATGCATGAGCTCAGCGAATGGGCCCAGCAGTGTGGGGGCACTGTGATGGTTTAGACCTAGATGGCCTCACGTGCTCACAGGCGGGGCTTTGGAGGTGACTGGATTAAAGCAGATTTGTTATCAGGAGGTGAGGTCTGGTCCAAAGAGGCGGGCACTGTAAGCAAGACCTGGAAGGCGGCATCTCCCTCCTGGCTCCTCCTTTCACTCTCTGCTTCCTGTCCACCATGCTCTGAGCAGCTGTCCCCCCCCACCGCCATGGTGCCCTGCCTTGAAGCCAGCCGACATGCAAGGACTGAAATTCCTGCAAACTGTGAGCTAAAGTTAATCTCTCCTTTCATTTCTGAGTCAGGGTTTGAGTCAAGGAACGGTAGACACTCCTTCGGTAGCGATTCCCCCGGGGGCAGCAAAGTCCTCCGAAGCTCCCCACCACAGGTATGTGTGTTTGCCCTCAGAGATGGGGCATCAGAGAGCCTCTCCCCAGAGCTGTCATTTGAAGACTGGAACTCACCAGGCGTGGGGGAGGCACGCCTGTCAGCCCAACACTCTGGGAGGCTGAGGCAGGAAGATTCCAAGTTGGAGCCCAACCTGGGTAACTTAGCCACTTAGTGAGACCCTGTCTCAAAATAAAAAATAAAAAGAAAGGGCTGTGGATGTAGTCCAGCAGGAAGGTCCTGGGTTCAATTCGAAGTACTGCAAAAAAAAAAAAAAAAAAAAAAAAAAAAAAAAAAA